AGGGTAAAGTGTCTTGCCCAAGGACACAACGACCAGGACAGAGAGCCCGGGGATCGAACCGGCGACCTTCCGGTTACAGATGCGCTTCCCAACCCCCAGCACCACGGTCGCCTAAATCCTCAGCATAACCATATATAATATCCACAAAACTTAAAAAGAGGTTATACACACACACACACACAATACGGTAATATTATGCTGAAACCCAGTACGAATCACTCCGCGAGGCTTCTGCTTACGATAGCCGTAATGCTCCGACAATTCATCAAGCGGTGCGGATTTGTAGCTTAGCAAAGTCGTACTAAAACATTTGACAGATTTTCGAGCGCCGTACACATAAAATCGTTTTGAGGTCAGTAAACACAACCAGAATTCATACATAAGGTACACGGGTTTATAAGGGGCACTGTTGATTTTCAGAAAAATCAAAAAGATTGATTTTAAGTGAGCTGTATTTTCCAAAAAAAAACAAAAAAAAAACCCACGGTAATAACGACGGCCCGCTAGCATGCTCTACCAAAAATAGTGCTTTGTTGTGTATCTGATGGACAAAAGCTAAACCAGTTCCACACCAATGAAGTTGCAGCATTTTTACAAACCAATTATGGTTCATCCATTTCATTCAACGATCCGCTTTCGCCCTACTCATTCTCTGTCACCGCCATGCTTTTACAGCTATGTGCATATGAAAACAAAGGCACTACGCATGTGCGTTTTATCCATATTCTATCGCGATATTTCATTTTCTTATCATTGCCGAACATTAAATCGGTATTACGATATGATATGGTCCAGCCCTAGTAAATGGACTGGTTCATATAGAGCGCTTTTCTACTCTGAGCATTCAAAGCGCTTGTAAATTCACCCATTCGCACAAGCACTTTTTTCCAATCCTTTTCTAAGTACTTCCTATCTAACAGTCAGATAGGACTCAGATGCCAGCAAGGTGGAGGTGGAGTACTGGTTTGGGCTGGTATCATCAAAGATGAGCTTGTGGGGCCTTTTCGGGTTGAGGATGGAGTCAAGCTCAACTCCCAGTCCTACTGCCAGTTTCTGGAAGACACCTTCTTCAAGCAGTGGTACAGGAAGAAGTCTGCATCCTTCAAGAAAAACATGATTTTCATGCAGGACAATGCTCCATCACACGCGTCCAAGTACTCCACAGCGTGGCTGGCAAGAAAGGGTATAAAAGAAGAAAAACTAATGACATGGCCACCTTGTTCACCTGATCTGAACCCCATTGAGAACCTGTGGTCCATCATCAAATGTGAGATTTACAAGGAGGGAAAACAGTACACCTCTCTGAACAGTGTCTGGGAGGCTGTGGTTGCTGCTGCACGCATTGTTGATGGTGATCAGATCAAAACACTGTCAGAATCCATGGATGGCAGGCTTTTGAGTGTCCTTGCAAAGAAAGGTGGCTATATATATTTGTATATATACAAACTAAAAGCTACTTCCAAAAACATTCAGCTTTGATATTAATGGGTTTTTTGGGTTCATTGAGAACATGGTTGTTGTTCAATAATAAAATTATTCCTCAAAAATACAACTTGCCTAATAATTCTGCACTCCCTGTATATGTGACAAGAGCGGAGTTCTTGTAATGGTCACTTGGGGCTGGCTCCAAAACTTTTTCAGTCCCACGGACTGTCCAGCTTTACATGTTTATTGCCTGGTACAATAATGTGTCCAACTTGGACAGCTTCTCTCCCCAACTGTATGGTGGGAGACTTAAATTTTATGTTCTTATAATTCATTTATTTGGATATTGGCATTTGGGGGTGTAGACAGAAAACTGTCATTCCTGTTTTCTTCTTCTGACCCGTCTCCGTAAAGCTTAGGCTGTGTGGGAAAATTCCAGCATACCAGCAGTTTCTGAAATAGTGGGACTAACTTGTGTGGCACCAACAACCATGCCCCTTTTCTAATGCTCCGTTTGAACCCGAGGAGGTCAACTTGACCATGGCTACATGTTGCTGCCATAACTGCTGGTTAGATATTTACATGCATATCTAATAAAGTGGTAAGAGAGTGTATATGGATTTTTACAGGAAATATTCGTACAGTTCGATTCATAATTTGTTGGGCATATAGAACGTTTTTGTACAGCATCGCAGTGGACTTGAAATCAGCAATAATCAATTTATGAAATGTAACGCTCTAAACCAGGCCCCAGGGACTTCATTATTACAGGATATTTTTAAAAATAAAAATAAAATGTTTTTTTTAATGCGCCAGCTTGTTGTCATGTAAGTTACATGTTGGCCAATATGTCTGAACATTTCTTGAAAGAAGCGCAGAGAAGCACTTGAAAAGGGCTCGCAAACTCCCCACACTTTGAGTTAAACGCAAAGAAAAAAGCAACCGTGCTGCATTGGTTGTACACCAGGACTCATACCTGAAAACTGGAGCCTAACGATCAGCTTTCCCGTTTCTTTTCTTTGCAGTGCGTTACATGAATGTTGAGGGTTTGGTGCTTTGTATGCAGTACACATTATAGTGCTGCCCACAATTACACCTCGAGTCCTGAGTCACTCACTCAAGTGAGTGAGTGACTCAGCGACCATGTTTCATCGACATGATCGCTACCAGAATACATGCTTATTTTACAGCCAAGCAGACAGTGGTTAACTTGGTCTTACCGTCCGCTGACTTGGTGCAGTCCCTTGTTTTAGTACGCGTCTTCACACCTCCTGAAGTCCTACTGACTAAACACGCCCTTCGGCGAGACAAAGACTAAAGGGATTTACTGATAACACAAACATGCACCGCGTATGGTAATACACAATCCCAGTTCACTATTAACAGTGTTTACAGATCTGCGCAACGATCCACGCCCAATTGAACCGGCAGTTTCCTGTACGCCATCATCGTCATCACCATTGTTATAAGACCCTTCTTCGCCTATCTTTTTATGGCGGGTAGCAAACAACTTTAGGTGTTATACCACCACCCTCTGGACTGGAGATCTCCCATCATGCCTTGGGACATGTGCTGCTGTTTAGATGTTCTTGTT